CTTATTCATTTTTTCTTTTTGTCTGGTATGTTGAATTATATTTTCCTAATGTGAAATTATCTTAGTATTTCTAGAATTAGCCCAAATTTTAAAATACTCTCTTTGTTTGGGTTTGATAATTTTAAGTAGTATTTTTCTTCTTTATCATAAATAAAATTAGCTTATAAAATATCCCCTTTTGATGCTGCCTTTTTCTGGCTTGGTATAAAGAAGTACTAGGATTATAAAATGAGTTGGATGAGTGACTTTTCTGTCTGTTTTCTGGAATAATTTGCATAAAATATGAGATACCCATTATTTAAGTGTTTATAAGTGTCAGTTTGTGAAACCATTGGGACTGTTTGTTTATATTAGGTTAGATTGTTTTTCTGTGAATAGATTTTTAATTATTACATTAATTTATTTACATTTATATGATTTCTTCACATTTTCTTTGTATTATTAAATAGGTTTAATAGGTGAAAATACATTTTTTCTAGAAAATACTCCATTTCATATCTGTTTTCAAATTTATGGACATAGAATTGATCATACTGCTTTTTATCATCTCAAGTTCATACATATGCACTTTTCATTCCAGAATGTGTCTTCTCTTTTATTTCTTGATTGATCTGGTATAACAATGTTTTATTTTATTGTCTTTTTTTTTTAAGAAACAGATTTTCTTTTTACCTATTCTAGTATATCCTTTTATCATGTTGTTTTCTCATCTTACCTTTATTATTTCCTTATATTCCCTTTATTTGGCTTTACTCTTTTTTTACAATTTGCTTTGTTGACTACTTAGCTCATTTATTTTCATTTTTTTCTCATGAGCATTTAAGGGTATAAATTCTTTGGTGTTGCTTTACCTGCATTTTACAGTTTTTAATATGTAGTATTTTATAATACTTAAGTTCTAAATATTTTCTGATTTCCAGAGCTATTTAGGAAATTTTGTTTTTGTTGTTGCTATTGTTTTAAATATACAGATCTACAGGGTTTATGTTATCTTTTTGTTCTTGATTTCTAATTAAATGGCATTGGGGGGGAGCATATGGTTCTTTGGTGTTTGTTGATCTATTTTATGGCCTAGAATGACCTAGCTATCTTTCATGTTCTGAAATTTCACTATGATGTTTCTAGATGTGGTTTTATTTTAATTTATCTAGATTGGATGACATTTTCCATTTTGGAAAAAATTTAACTATTATCTCTTTACTGACTTTCTCTCATTCTTGCTATTCTCTTCATCTGGAACTGAGATCTATATTAGGCCTTCCCATTCTCTCTTGCATGTTTCATAACCTCTTGTTTCATATTTCCCACTTTACTGTCTTTCTGTAAAGGCAATATGATAAATTTCTTCATATCTGTATTCTGTTTACTAATTTTCTCATCCGGTTTTTCATAATACATGATTAATCCTTTTGAAATGAATTCCATTGAATATGTTTTTATTTATTGAATCTCACTTTTGTTCTTTTTCATGTCTACCTGGCTTTTCTCATATTTTCACTTCCATCTATTTTGTTTTTCATATTTCTAAACACAATTATTTTTTATAATGGCTTTCAGATCTTTTAATGATTTGAAGTTCTTGGAGGTCTCATACTGCTTGGGTGTGGGTCCTAATTCTGGTAAATGGTGGATTGTTTCCTTATACATCTTCCCATTCTGGATAGTGAGCTCATCTTCAGTGGTGCCTTATCTGTGGAGATTTGGTAGAACTTGGCTTTAGAGAGTATCTGTCCAAAATGGGTTTGCTTTTCCACTCTCCTGGAACCCTATTAAGTCTAACGGCACCCTTTTTTTCCTACCCAAGAGAACATGCTGAGATAGCCAAACTTCCTTCTTTTCTTCCTTTGCTGCCGAGAGAGCTTTTTAAATTAAACTGTAGTCTCTGAGAGTCATGCCTATGTGTAGGGAGAAGTTGGTGGGTTTTAGTTTCAATGATCTGCTTGAATTCTCCTTTACCTAGCAGGGCCTTAATACTCGAGGTCTTTTGTTGCATGGCTATGCTTCCCTGTCCTCACAATAGCACAGGTTGATATACTAACCAGCTTTGGTTTTCAGCGTCTTCTCACTGTGTTACCCCTAAGCTTTCCTTACTTTTTTGAGAGATTTTAAAGGATGTTTGTTATATTTTAGCTGCTACTTCTTACTTAACAGACATGTATTTGAAGGTCATTGACTTCTACTCTGAGATTTTGACCTTGAGGTGATATGTGAGTCTAATTATACAATTCAAAGCAGAGGACTTTGGTGATTTCAGTGCCATTTTTATATGCCCAGGATTTCTGTGATAGCAGCAATAAATGCAGATTTTGTCTATTGTGGCATGGTATTGTATATAGATATGAAACCTAACCCACATCAATCTTTGTTTCATTAAGTGTTCTTCAGGTTAATAGAAGTTAAAAGAATTTTAAGGGTATGGAATTAAGCTTACAGATACTTACTTTTGGATTAAGTTGTGTAACTTCACAGAATGGTTTTGTAACTTTTTCAAATATATTCATTTGTAATGTTATTGTGACAAACATTCATTGGGGATCAGACAATAAAGCAAATCTTCAACATATACATAACATATGAGAGGGTTATTGGTACTTAATGAAATTCTATCTTTAAAAGAAATAGGCATTCCTTAAGGGAAAGGTGCTATGCAATAGAGAATTTTGATTAGTCTTATTGCTTTATTGTGATTCATCATAGACTGATTTCTTAGTAAAATGTTGTTCCACTTTGATTTCAGAATTCTTTGTTACATCACTGAATAATGGATGAGTCTGAGAGAGAAAAAGAGAAGAGGTATGAATTCATAACTGACTGATATTTCTGTCAAAGCCCTCTCCCCTGTCTTCTGTTCCTATTTCACATCTAGCAAAATCCTACTTCCTCGGGGGAAGCCTGACTCAGGGAAATTTGGTATCTCCAGTGGGTTTTCCATAACCCATAGCCCCAACTCTGTTATAATACTAAGTGGATTACCTATGTAATGCATAGGTAAAGCAAATATTCCTTGAAAACCTCCCTCTTCAAACTGTGTCCTCCACCTTACACAGTGGTTGCCCAGAGCTGATACTACATAAATGATTTACACTCCCTGATAGGTTTAGAAGCCTGTTTTGGGTCCATGGCTTGCCTAGAGCTTAAATTCATACATGTTTGGAAAGTAAATTACCTTATTTTTCCAATTCAAGCATCTAAAATAAATTCCAGTGCACTGATCAAAAAGTTTTTGTCCAAATTTTTCAGTATGATCTGTTTTTCAAAGGTAAAAAACAATCTCAATTAGCATTTTATTGCTCAGCCTTCTCTCTGAGAAGGAGCAATGGCTTTGCAAGAGCCTCTTGAGTAATTACAGATCATTTAGAGAGATTTTTCTTTAATGAGAAGTACTCTTGTAAAAGCAGGTAAGAATATATGGTGGAACAAAGGTCCACCATTTAAATTCAAGTTAATTTGGATTGAATTTATTTTATATAATTCATAGGTCACCGTGCCAGACACTGTGCTGGGCTTTGCTATGGAAGACACTGAGACAGATCTGGTCCCTACTCTCATGGGCCTCACAGTCTAAATGAAATTGGCTTTCATTTCCTCATTTTATTTTTTTTATTTATTTTATTTTTTATTTAAAAAACATTTTTTAATGTTTATTTATTCTTGAGACAGAGACAGAGCGTGAACAGGGGAGGGACAGAGAGAGAGGGAGGCATAGAATCTGAAACAGGCTCCAGGCTCTGATCTGTCAGCACAGAGCCCAACAGGGGGCTTGAACCCACAAACTGTGAGATCATGACCTGAGCCAAAGTCAGACACTTAACTGACTGAGCCACCCAGGCGCCCCTCATTTCCTCATTTTAATATTGGCAGTTATTGTTGTCATATGAATGATCAATGGACTGGAGTTTTGCTCAGATGTTGACATTAACAACTCCCTTTCTCTCTTCTTATTTCTCCTCCACCATTGTTCCACCATCTGAATTCTTAGACCTACCCTTACCATTAACAACCTTGATTGTTTTTTGTCACTTAGGGACGTATCTAATGTATCTGAAAATAAAAAGAAGGACCAGTACAGTTCCTTTTTCAGAGAACTGCATGCCATAATTCAAGCTCATGGATATCCTGTAAAAGGAGACAGATATAAAACATCACAGCACACTACTGACCCTTCACAGAAGAAGGAAGGTTTGGTCTGAGCACCCTAACCCATTCGTATAGCTTTTTGATTAGCCATATTGAAAACTAGTTGTGGGTGGGACAGCTGGATCTCTTCCTTTACTTCAAACATCTTTGGGAGAGATTAATGAATAGAGGATCTCCAGAAACACCTTCTTTTTTAAAAAAAAAGTTTACTTATTTTGAGAGAGGGCGTGAGTGGGGGAGGGCCAGAGAGAGAAAGGGAGAGAGAGAATCCCAACCAGGCTGAGGAGTCCAACTTGGGGCTTGAACTCACAAACCGTGAGATCATGATCTGAGCCAAAATCAAGAGTTGGATGCCTAACTGACTGAGCCAACCAGGCACCCCCCTGAAGCATCTTCTAATACACAGATACTTAGTTTCTCTTCATTCGTAAGTTTATTAATAGCCAATGCTTAAAATGTTATTAAGGTTCATGGAAAAGTAGAATAAAGAAATGAGAATTAATAGAAGTATACCAGGCAATAATAATGCAGATTTATGTATCTTAGGCAATTGAAGCATATTGTAAATGTGGCTAAGGGGAACATGGCCCTGATGGTATAAAATAGTACCTATGATACCTAAGCAGGCTTAATTCAAAACATCTGAACAGGTTATACCCATATGCATATAATCATACTATAAAAATATCTTACCTTAAAAAAATATTTTCTTGACCCCATGATACTTCTGTTACTCTGTTTCTGTGTCCTCTTCACAGTACAACTTTTTGAAATGACTGTAAGACCTTTTCCCTGCATCTTCATCCTTCATTCTTTTCCTCAATCCACTCACTGAGGCTGCAGCTCTCACAACTCCGCTACAGCTACTTTTGTCAGGGATAACAGTGACCTGCACATTGTTGATTGTTTGGCCCTTAACTCTCCTCATCTTCCGTGGCCTTTCAAAAACATTGGACAGGCGTCCACTCCTTTCTTCTTGAAGTACTTTTTTCTTGGCTTCCAGGATAACACACTCACTTTGTTTCTCTCTTAGCTCATCTGCTGCTCCTTCCCGTTTTTTCTTTCTACTTTTCTACTTCCCCTTTCAACTTCTGAACACTGGTGTGGCCTAGAACTCAGTCCTTGGACCTTTTTTCTTCTATGTCTACACTCATTTCCTGGGTAATCTCATCCAGTATCCTAACTGGAAGTGCTACCTGGATGTCAGTGACCTCTGCTTTATAAGTCTGTCTCTAGCCCTGACCTACCTGAACTCCATACTCGAGAATCATACACGTTATTAAATCAGCAAGAGTTTCCCATGTGATTTCTTCACTTGGATATCTAATAGAAAGGTTATTATGGTCATAAAGGAACCTGTGGTCCTTCTCCACTTCATTGCCTCTCACACCCACCTACCCCCTCCCGGTTCTCCTTATTCCAGTAACTGGTACCACCAGTCATTCTTCCAGTGGCTCAAGCTAAAAATCTATAAATCATTCTTGTGTCCTCTATTTCTTCCACCTCCTCACCCAATCCATCAGCAAGTCCTTTTGGTTTTGCCTCTAAAATATATCTCAAATTTACTCACTTCTCCCCATTTCCATAGCCTTGGTATACCAACTTAATCCAGGCCACCATCATCTGTTACTTTTGCAGAAGCTTTCTGACTAGACTCTGCTTCCACTCTTGTTCCCCAATTTGATCTATTTTGCACAAACAGCCATAGTAGTCTTTTAAAAACGTATGTCACCCTCCTGCTTGAAAGTATTTCATATTCCATTCAGAGTAATGCTAACTCCTTAACATATACCCTACATGATTTGGCCCTGCCTTTCAGACTTCATTTCCTACTACTCTATCCTTTGGTCACCCTACTGTAGCCACTTTCACCTCCTGTCTGTAATTTAAATAGGACAAATTCTTTCATGCTTCACTTAACTTACTGCTTCCTCTGCTCAGGATGCCTTGCTCCCAGGTTTTGCTGTGTCTGTCTTCCTCTCACTCACAGCTTGGCTCAGATGGTACCTTCAGTCAAGCTTTCCTTGATCACCCAGTCTAAATTATTGTACTTAAAGGTATATGAAATTATTGGTTCCAGTGTCCATGTGTTCATTATCTGTCTACCCCTCCACCAGTCTATAAGATACAAAAGGATAGTTACCTCACTTGTCTTGTTCATACTATATCCTGAGCCTCTAGAACAAAGTAGGATACATAGTTGGAGCTCAGTAAATATCAGTTAAATGAATGAGTGAATGAATGAGGTTTAATTTAATAAGAATTACCAAGTTCCATATTATTAATTAAATACTGGACACTGGGGTGTTCGTGAAGAATTGGATACAGTGCCTGTCCTGCAAGCAAAACAAGAATAAATTTATGGACAATAGTAATGTAGATAAGCCTTTTATGGTTGATTGATAAAATACGTTGGTTTTATTTTCTTGGAAATATGTAGACTCTTTTCAATCTCATTTATTTCTTTGGAGGGAGTATAGGAGATGAAAGTCACTAGGCAAAGCTGAAAGACAGTGGGGAAATGACTTCAGAAATCAGCTATTGGAGAGTGTCATGGGTTGTTTCCTGAGCTTGAGGAGCTCTGACCAGAATTGAATTTCCAGGCTGGGACAGTGGTCGGAAACACTGACCTTGAGGCATTTGTGCAATTGGCATGGTTTATTTTTATATTCTGTCATTTCCCATGCAGTTACACACCCTCTTCATTTCTTCTTTAGTGAGGGTTCTGGAACTTCTCTGCTCATGCTTGGTCTGCTTCTTACCTACATCTACTGATAGGAAAGGATCTGAGACTCATACTCTCTAAGAAAACAAACTCTGCTATCAGAATTATCCTTGTCAGGAGATTTAACATTTTTAATACGGGTAAAAGTTGTATTCCATGGGTCTCTAAGTTATTTGTGAAGAGAAGAAACTAACAGTTAATTGACATGCATTGAAATAACTGGAGATTGGAGATTTGTGTTAGGGAAATCCCTGAGTTAGTGAAGTTAGTAGAGTAGATAGGATTGGGGGGGGGGGTGAAGGGAGCAGCTGTTGATGGCAAAAGCTCTGAGTGAGCACACAGCAGAAGAAACAGGGCTCACTGGGAAAACCAGAGAACCTTGAAGAGTGAAGAAGGATAGATGGGAGATAGAACATTGTTAACAGCTTCGAAGAGATATGAGATAGGGCTTAAAGATTTTCTAGTTAGGTGCTTGGATCTACCTAGAGCCCTTGACACAGCCTGTACCTTATAAAATTACCAGGTTTTGGTAGAATGCAGAAGACTTGAAGAAGTCAACAAAAGGAAAGAACTGGAGGTTGAAAATCATAAAATCTTTGGAGAAGTGTGTACAAGTGGAAATTGAGTTGGATGATCTTCAAGGCCTTTTTCAATTCCAAACACTTCTCTGTTTCTGATCATTTATAAGCAATTAGTTAGTCTACATCAGCTCCTTCATTAGCACTCAGCATTTTCTCATGAGAGTCTTTTCTATAAAATTAATTATAACTTTGAAAAATCTAATACCCATATCTAATCATTTTAATGCGACAGTTTTCTATCCTTCTTTGTTTTCCTAAAAAGGCAAAGTCAATCCGGAAACCTCCAGAGACATATCTAATTGGATTCCATCATTTCAGAGCTATGAAGACTTCATGTGTAAGACACTACAAGTAAGAGGGCATTCTTTCTTGGATTATTTTATATGTAGAATACATGCAATAGAAGATAAAAAATAGTGTTTTTCACAGTGTGGCTTGGAGACCATACATATCAGAATTACCTAGGAAGCTTGGTGAAAACACAGATTCTTGGGACCCACCTTGAACTGTCTGAATCAGAGTCTCAATCCTGGTAGAGCCAGGAGCCTGCATTTCTAACAGGCTCTACAGATGCTTCTTTGCTAACTGAGTTTTGAGAACCACTCATCTTGAGTGACAACAAACACAAACAAGTCTTTGCATGGGTTAGTGGCAAATTAAGTAATATCTGGTAGACCCTTCAACATAGATTGTTAGCCTCTATAAAACAGGCCTTCAAGTCTTTTTTTTTTTTTTTCTGTCAAGGACATGAGGTGTTTATGGTTTCTATCTCCAAGGAAACTGGTTAGTTTTACTAACTTCAAAGGCCACAACTAAAACCTGAATTACCATGGACTTTTTCTTTTCTTTTTTTTTAATGTTTATTTATTTATTTATTTATTTTGAAAGAGAAAAAGAGTGAATATGAGCTGGGGAGGGGCAGAGAGAGAGGGAGAGAGAGAATCCCAAGCAGGCTCTGGCTGTCAGTGCAGATCCTGATTCAGGGTCCCATGAACCACAAAATCACAATCTGAACCTAAATCAAGAGTCTGCCGCTAAACTGACCTAGCCATCCAGGTGTCCCAGAACATGGTCTTTTGAGTCAGACAGATAAGGCTATGAATTATGCCTTTGTCATTTATTTGCTGTGTGTCCTTGAGAAAGTTATTATCTCTGATCCTTGATTTCTTCCTCTATATAATGGGTATTGAAAAATTGCCTTCACTGAGTTGTGAGAATAAAGTGGACATACTGTAAAATATCTAGCACACTTCCTCACTCCCTTCTCTGTGTCATTCAGTTTCCCATATTTTCCATCCCCATGTCTTTCTGTGTTGCAGTCTGAGTCATTTCTTTAGCTCTGTTTTCTTTCCAGCTATGTTCTAGCATACTATTTAACTGTACATTGTATTTTAATTTTTGATAATAATATAATTTCTAGACATTTGTTTACTTTTTATGTCTGCCTGGTCAGTTTTGAGTCTCTTGTTCTTTCATCATATTTACCCTTTATTATTTATTTAAGCAATTTAAGCAAACTTCTTTTATATTCTATCTTCAGTAATTTTGGTATCTGCTGTTTTTTATTTTGATTCTGCATTTTGTTATTTATTCTGCCCATTGTTCATGTTTTATTTCTTCTTGTGTTTTCAATATCTTATTATGAGCTCATGTCATTTGGAACTTTATCCACATGAATTCTTTGAGCCCTGGTTGTAAATTGCTTAAAGTTTATTTATTTTTTTTTGAGAGAGAGAGAGAACCCACTCAAGTGAGTGGGGGAGGGGGAGAGAGAGAGGGAGAGAGAGAAAATCACAAGCAGGTTCTACACAGTCAGTGTGGAGCCTGATGTGGGGCTCAAGCTCATGAACTCATGAATTCACGAACCATGATATCATGACCTGAGCTGAAATTAAGAGTCAGCCACCTAACTGACTGAGCCACCCAGGTGCCTCAAGCCCTGTTTTTAAAATGATTTCTCTAGAAATGATTTCAGTTTCTTTTTACTAGATGTCCAGAGTGAGAAGCACTTTATTTATTTAAACAGTTTTTTAAAGTTTGTTTTATTTATTTTTGAGAGAAAGAGAGAGCATGAGCAAACATGAGCGGGAGAGGGGCAGAGAGAGGGAGAGAGAGAATCCCAAGCAGGCTCTACGCTGTCAGCGCAGAGCCTGATGCAGGGGTGGGCCCAATCTCACAGTCTGCAAAATCACGACCTGAACTGAGATTAAGAGTCAGATGCTCCAGGGGCGCCTGGGTGTTGCAGTCGGTTAAGCGTCCGACTTCAGCTCAGGTCACGATCTCACAGTCCGTGAGTTTGAGCCCCATGTCGGGCTCTGGGCTGATGGCTCAGAGCCTGGAGCCTGTTTCCGATTCTGTGTCTCCCTCTCTCTCTGCCCCTCCCCTGTTCATGCTCTGTCTCTCTCTGTCCCAAAAATAAATAAACGTTGAAAAAAAAATTAAAAAAAAAAAAAAAGAGTCAGATGCTCCAGAGTTGGCCACCCAGGTGCCCCAAGACCACTTTAAACTAAATAATGGGCTTGGGGTCTGGAAAGTTACACAGGTAGTTTGTGAATTCCAGCTCCAAATCTGTGTGAGTGAGAGCTTCTGTTTAGTGATTCTCAGATGAGACTAGTTTTCTTTTCCTTCTCTAGCCAGAGCTGAGCCTGAGGCAGACATGTGCATTCACTCTCTCCCTTTGCTGGATAAGATCTATTTTGTCTGCTGAGAGTGTTACCCTTTGGGAAGCCTGGTTTTATGCAGAAGTCTCTGATTTCACTTCTCACCTTGTGTATGCCTGGTTTTGCTTTCTCTCTCCCAATCTCTATGCCATCAGTGTTATGCAGATATTTACAAGGCAAATTCAAGCTCCAATATCCCCTTACCTGTTAATTCTCATGTTATAGTAATTTCTGATACCAGATTGTTTCCTTTACTTTACAATAAGCTTGGTTTTGTTTTGAAATATACATTTTTATATACTTTATTCATAATTTTAGGGGTTCTCGACCAGGAGGCACTTGTCTGGATATCAAATCCATTATATAGCAGGAAAGTGATGGTAATCTCCATATGTATAAGTAGGTGACTAACCACAAATAAAAATGCCCTGCAAAATATTCTTAGCATTTTTGAAATTAATTTTGAATAAATGTGAAACAACCTACACATGGAAATGAATCTTCCTAGCTTGTGTTGGAGAGCTTTGTGTTAATTGAGTATACATTAAAATTTGTTTGTCTAAGTGACACATCATTTGATAAACATCTCATGCTTAAGGTTAAGTAGATTCTGTGTAGGAGGCAGAATAATGGAATTTTAATTAAGTCTGTGCCTGCTTTATTGATATTTAAGGCCCACAATACATTTTCAGTGTGCTATTATAATTATTTATGCATTTAGAAATAAAGCTATCATTTTATTATTGTTCCACTATTTAATTACATTATTATTCTCTCTTCATTAGTCATTAGATGGCTTTATGATAATACTGAGCCTAGATGGAGTGATAATTTATGTCGGTGGAAGCATCACTTATCTCCTTGGCCATTTACCAGTAAGTTTTTCCAGTTTTGGGGAAGGATCATTCTGGTTTATTGTTTAGGGGTTCATTATTTGTTTTCAGGAGCATATAACTCATCAGAGAAGATGTTCTCTCAATGTTGTCAAAATGTGCACTTGTTTTATTGTCATGTTTATTGGTTTCAGTTTTAAATCTATAAAAACAAATTGTGATATGAGGTAATGAAATAGTGTGTGTGTATGTGTGTTTTGTAAAGGGCCCCGAAGGCAATCTCCAAAGAAGAATGTGCTTTTTAAAATGGAAGTCTCCTCAAAATCAGTCGGTAACCCCCAAGGTGACTACTTTGTGAAGCAGCCCTCACCGGGATGGAGGTGTTTGATTTTGTACATTTCCTTAGCGTCCACTACATACTAATTAAACAAAGAATGTCATGATTTGTTTATGCTGGCTCATGGTATCCATTTCCAGATCTGATTTGCTTTTTGTTTCTTTATGTTAAAGAACAAATTATGATCTAATTTAGAAAAAAATATAGATATGATGGCATAGTTTAGCAGTATTGTAAGTATTGCTGGAGATATTTACATAGGAGTTGTAGTCAGGATCTGTGCTGTCCCAAAAGGTCACTCATTCCTGAGCTCTTTGGTATTATTATGCCCCTCTTCATGAAAGCTTTCTCTATCTTCATAAGATCATTGACTTAGAATATGTGATTACCTAGATTTTTCTAGATCTTAAGGTTGAGCATCTAAAAAATATACCACTCAACTATGAAAGTACTACATACCTTCCTGTTCCACTAATGCATGTGTATGGAGTGAGGATAGGTAGAATACATCCACCTCCACTCTTGAAATCTCTGTCATTTGGCTAGTTGTGTGAATCTTATTTGGATTGTTGCTTTCATTGAATATTCCTCATTCTACACAGTTGAGTAAAGAACTTGACACACCCTGGCCCTGAGATCTATAGCACTCAAGTTTGGAACATATAAATTAATAGAAGCCATGTTAAATTATTCTTTAATTAAGTTAAAAGTGGATTTGAAGCTTATTCCACTAGTTATGCTATTCCAGCCAACATGTTGCAAGGCCCGGTTGGAAGCTTAGAGAACTTTTCTACTCTTTTATCTTTATTTGAAGATACTATGATCAATATCTTTTTTTCTCATTCTGTTTTATTTCTTTCAAAGAACAGTTCACATTTCCAAATTCAGCTTATATGTGTAGGATGCCAAAACAGCTGAATAAAATACAAATATTAGAGATATTCATTGAATTAGACTTTAGAGCACTTATATCATGGAAGAAGAATGGTCTTATTAAATCTATATTAAAAGTAAGATTGTATGAGTATGATCCATGACAGATTAAGTTTTGTTATAGTGAAGACTAGAAATCTTCCCAAAGTCTTATATTAGATAGTACTTAAACCAAATTGGTCATTGTGAAAGGAAAGGTGAACTTTTCCTATTGTGAGGATTTTGCACTGTGAATGTCTTTGTCATGCTATCCTTGTTTCTTTTTTCTTTTATGTTTTTTTTTCTTTTTTTTTCAATATATGAAATTTATTGTCAAATTGGTTTCCATACAACACCCAGTGCTCATCCCAAAAGTGCCCTCCTCAATACCCATCACCCACCCTCCCCTCCCTCCCACCCCCCATCAACCCTCAGTTTGTTCTCAGTTTTTAACAGTCTCTTATGCTTTGGCTCTCTCCCACTCTAACCTCTTTTTTTTTTTTTCCTTCCCCTCCCCCATGGGTTTCTGTTAAGTTTCTCAGGATCCACATAAGAGTGAAACCATATGGTATCTGTCTTTCTCTATATGGCTTATTTCACTTAGCATCACACTCTCCAGTTCCATCCACGTTGCTACAAAAGGCCATATTCATTCTTTCTCATTGCCACATAGTATTCCATTGTGTATATAAACCACAATTTCTTTATCCATTCATCAGTTGATGGACATTTAGGCTCTTTCCATAATTTGGCTATTGTTGAGAGTGCTGCTATGAACATTGGGGTACAAGTGCCCTTATGCATCAGTACTCCTGTATCCCTTGGGTAAATTCCTAGCAGTGCTATTTCTGGGTCATAGGGTAGGTCTATTTTTAATTTTCTGAGGAAACTCCACACTGCTTTCGAGAGTGGCTGCACCAATTTGCATTCCCACCAACAGTGCAAGATGGTTCCCGTTTCTCCACATCCTCTCCAGCATCTGTAATCTCCTGATTTGTTCATTTTGGCCACTCTGACTGGCGTGAGGTGTTATCTGAGTGTGGTTTTGATTTGTATTTCCCTGATAAGGAGCGACGTTGAACATCTTTTCATGTGCCTGTTGGCCATCCGGATGTCTTCTTTACAGAAGTGTCTATTCATGTTTTCTGCCCATTTCTTCACTGGGTTATTTGTTTTTCGGGTGTGGAGTTTGGTGAGCTCTTTATAGATTTTGGATACTAGCCCTTTGTCTGATATGTCATTTGCAAATATCTTTTCCCATTCCATTGGTTGCCTTTTAGTTTTGTTGGTGGTTTCCTTTGCTGTGCAGAAGCTTTTTATCTTCATAAGGTCCCAGTAATTCATTTTGGTTTTAATTCCCTTGCCTTTGGGGATGTGTCGAGTAGGAGATTGCTACGGCTGAGGTCAGAGAGGTCTTTTCCTGCTTTCTCCTCTAGGGTTTTGATGGTTTCCTGTCTCACATTCAGGTCCTTGATCCATTTTGAGTTTATTTTTGTGAATGGTGTGAGAAAGTGGTCTAGTTTCAACCTTCTGCATGTTGCTGTCCAGTTCTCCCAGCACCATTTGTTAAAGAGACTGTCTTTTTTCCATTGGATGTTCTTTCCTGCTTTGTCAAAGATGAGTTGGCCATACGTTTGTGGGTCTAGTTCTGGGGTTTCTATTCTATTCCATTGGTCTATGTGTCTGTTTTTGTGCCAATATCATGCAGTCTTAATGATGACAGCTTTGTAGTAGAGACTAAAGTCTGGGATTGTGATGCCTCCTGCTTTGGTCTTCTTCTTCAAAAGTCCTTTGGCTATTCGGGGCCTTTTGTGGTTCCATATGAATTTTAGGATGGCTTGTTCTAGTTTCGAGAAGAATGCTGGTGCAATTTTGATTGGGATTGCATTGAATGTGTAGATAGCTTTGGGTAGTATTGACATTTTGACAATATTTATTCTTCCAATCCATGAGCAGGGAATGTCTTTCCATTTCTTTAAATCTTCTTCAATTACCTTCATAAGCTTTCTATAGTTTTCAGCATACAGATCCTTTACATCTTTGGTTAGATTTATTCCTAGGTATTTTATGCTTCTTGGTGCAATTGTGAATGGGATCAGTTTCCTTATTTGTCTTTCTGTTGCTTCATTGTTAGTGTATAAGAATGCAACTGATTTCTGTACATTGATTTTGTATCCTGCAACTTTGCTGAATTCATGTATCAGTTCTAGCAGACTTTTGGTGGAGTCTATCGGATTTTCCATGTATAATATCATGTCATCTGCAAAAAGCGAAAGCTTGACTTCATCTTTGCCAATTTTGATGCCTTTGATTTCCTTTTGTTGTCTGATTGCTGATGCTAGAACTTCCAGCACTATGTTAAACAACAGCGGTGAGAGTGGGCATCCCTGTCGTGTTCCTGATCTCAGGGAAAAAGCTCTCAGTTTTTCCCATTAAGGATGATGTTAGCTGTGGGCTTTTCATAAATGGCTTTTATGATGTTTAAGTATGTTCCTTCTATCCCGACTTTCTCAAGGGTTTTTATTAAGAAACGGTGCTGGATTTTGTCAAAGGCCTTTTCTGCATCGATTGACAGGATCATATGGTTTTTCTCTTTTTTTTTGTTAATGTGATGTATCACGTTGATTGATTTGCGAATGTTGAACCAGCCCTGCATCCCAGGAATGAATCCCACTTGATCATGGTGAATAATTCTTTTTATATGCCGTTGAATTCGATTTGCTAGTATCTTATTGAGAATTTTTGCATCCATATTCATCAGGGATATTGGCCTGTAGTTCTCTTTTTTTACTGGGTCTCTGTCTGGTTTAGGAATCAAAGTAATACTGGCTTCATAGAATGAGTCTGGAAGTTTTCCTTCCCTTTCTATTTCTTGGAATAGCTTGAGAAGGATAGGTATTATCTCTGCTTTAAACGTCTGGTAGAACTCCCCTGGGAAGCCATCTGGTCCTGGACTCTTATTTGTTGGGAGATTTTTGATAACCGATTCAATTTCTTCGCTGGTGATGGGTCTGTTCAAGCTTTCTATTTCCTCCTGATTGAGTTTTGGAAGAGTGTGGGTGTTCAGGAATTTGTCCATTTCTTCCAGGTTGTCCAATTTGTTGGCATATAATTTTTCATAGTATTCCCTGATAATTGTTTGTATCTCTGAGGGATTGCTTGTAATAATCCTATTTTCATTCATGATTTTATCTATTTGGGTCATCTCCCATTTCTTTTTGAGAAGCCTGGCTAGAGGTTTGTCAATTTTGTTTATTTTTTCAAAAAACCAACTCTTGGTTTCGTTGATCTGCTCTACAGTTTTTTTAGATTCTATATTGTTTATTTCTGCTCTGATCTTTATTATTTCTCTTCTTCTGCTGGGTTTAGGCTGCCTTTGCTGTTCTGCTTCTATTTCCTTTAGGTGTGCTGTTAGATTTTGTATTTGGGCTTTTTCTTGTTTCTTGAGATAGGCCTGGATTGCAATGTATTTTCCTCTCAGGACTGCCTTTGCTGCATCCCAAAGCGTTTGGATTGTTGTATTTTCATTTTCGTTTGTTTCTATATATTTTTAAATTTCTTCTCTAATTGCCTGGTTGACCCACTCATTCTTTAATAAGGTGTTCTTTAACCTCCATGCTTTTGGAGGTTTTCCAGACTTTTTCCTGTGGTTGATTTCAAGCTTCACAGCATTGTGGTCTGAAAGTATGCATGGTATAATTTCAATTCTTGTGAACTTATGAAGGGCTGTTTTGTGACCCAGTATATGATCTATCTTGGAGAATGTTCCATGTGCACTCGCGAAGAAAGTATA